AAGCCAATAAATCCTCTCCCACTGTGCTCTCAAAGCCAGGATTATGATAAACTCTGTGAGAAAGTTCTAATAACTGCACTGCATGAACTTATTTGCTATTGACAGTGTTGTATTATGGTGTTATGGAAACAGTCAGTCAAAGGAACAGAACTCATCCAGTCTGAAATTATAAACATTCATTTTCACTCTCCAACCAAGTGGGCAAGAAGCATTGCACTTGCCCCCTGGAATTATGGAAAGGATGTGGAACACTGTGTTCAACCAAGGACATAGGATGAGACCACATTGCGTTCGGAATTATGAGTAGATAGTGGACCTGGGTAGGAGGACCCCAACTTTGGCCACTTTTCCAAGAGTAGAGGAACACACTCTAACATTCTGGGGGAAATCCCTCTGCCCACCACACCAGTAACTGGAAACTGGGTGTGGTAAGGACTCCCTAGCTCCACTAGTAGAATCTGGTGGGGGGAATGGTAACGTGCATTGGAAAGTCCTGAGGAAGAGTGCTCTGAAAACAGTGCAATAGGTGAACCAAGTTCCCTAAATTTTGAACATCAAACCAACCCCGATTTATTCAATATGATGATTGAATATGAAAATATAGTAATACCATCTGGTAATGCACCTAGATGGTCTTATAGAACACCCCATTTCTACAGAGCCTGTTACAACCAGAATTAAGCATGGTTAAATGGGTTGCTAGTACGGAATTGAATAGTTAAAAGTACACCTGTCTGGGCAACACTCGCCACAGATCAAAATCAGGTGAAAGCAACATTAAGGGACCTTGAAAAAGAAAATAAGATTACTTCCTCCTCCATATAATCCAGCAGATGTTGTGAAAACAGCCATGGGGATAGTGAAAACCCCCAGAAGAAAAACTGCCAGATCATATAAAGAATGTGAGAAAAAAGCACCAGGAGAAGTCCACATTCAGACCCGTAAGATGTCCCCCAGTGAATCAAAGAAATGGGCAGTGAAAGACATAAATTTGCTGAAGCTGATGAGAAGTAACTCTCAGAAAATTTCTTACCTGTAAAGTCCATAATATGCAACCTGGATATTTGCAAAACTACCTCCAAGGAAGTGGGGATAAACCTTTGGACACTGAAGTTTCCCAAATAATACAGAGATAACTATCACCACAAAAGAAGTTAGGGTGAACCATATAATAACTCTGGGTCTGACACGATAAAACAAATGATCAGCGTATGATCAACTGTAGAGGTGAGAAATAGTTGGCAAAAGAATTGTGGAGGAGGATGTATCCCCTTCCATGGTGGCCAGAAACTTAAAATGAAAGGACCTAAAGGGAGAGATAAAGAGTCCTACAAACATGTTAACAACTCTAGCATGTCAGCAACAACAAAATATCCATTAAGGGAGAGATTATACATGGTATACGAGACTAAAGGCTTGAAAGGTTGACGAGACAAGGCATGCAGTACCACCTTAATATTTCAATTAATTAATGGAAAAGGCCATTTGGGAAGAAGGCTAGATAGCACTGGGGAGTCTAAAAATGTCAGATGTTGAGGATAACTAAAAGGAGATGAAAAAAGTCTGACCTAAATGAGAGGAGATGAAGCTAAACCCAAGTAAAAACAGGTCAAAATAAGATATGGTGAACGTGTTTGGTAAAGTTGGTACAAATACCATGTGATGCACATCCCAGGCAACTGTAGATGTTAAATGCTAATGAGCTGGGAAGAGTCTTGTTGTAGAATGTTGGGTTGAGGATGCCTCAATAAAGACAAACAAAGAGGAAGATGCAGAAGTGGACTCACATGAAGAAACTGTAGAAGAGAAAATTATGACTAGGCCGGCCAATCTAGCCTAGCAACATCTTGCAAATAGAGGATCAAAATATAGCCAGAAATCTGAGTAACATAGGAAGTGAGAGAAACTCACAGATTTGCAATTCCATCCAAGCAGGACCAATTGCATCTATCACCCAAGCTTAAGGATGAGGTAGTGAAGACTCCAAAGCTTGTAGTTGAGTAGCAATAAGTGGCAAAAGCTAACAAAGGATGCCCAAAATAAGAATAAAGCTATCCGAAAACTACACAATGGAGAATCCACTAGTTCAGGAGAAAGTAAGGACTGAGAATTACAATCTGCTATAAAATGGCAAGCCAGGAGGCTGAAATGATTGGAATAGGCCATATAGAGAAAGAACCACATTTAAGAGACCACTGGAATTGATGAAACGTCTCATGAGGATATTCTCCTGCAAAAGATCTAGACATTGCCTGTTGGACAATAAGAAGTCCTAAGTTATTGATGCAGAATGAAGATTTGTCCTCCATTCAGATACCATAAAATACCTGACCATGAAAATACACACAGCATCTGTGAAGAGAAACTATGGCCAGAGGGGCAGTATACATTTATACACCCACACACAAAAAACACATATATATATATACATAGATACACACACACACACAAAACACATATATATATATATATATATACATATACATAGATACACACACACACACAAAACACATATATATATATATATATATATATATACATAGATACACACACACACACACAAACACATATATATATATATACACATAGATACACACACACACATATATGCTAATGACAGGGGTGATCAAAACCAACAACCACTCAAGAACTAAAATGTTGCTCCTGAAGAAAGAGACTGAAAAATCCAGTGTATTGAGGTTCCAGATGGGACCACTGAAGGGATAGCATGTGTCCTCCTCCCAAAAAATGTAAGAAATGTGAGGGAAACCCACAACCCCAGAGACAGAACCTTCCTTGTAAGTAAATACCTGAACTGCCCATTCCATAGCCTGTAGCTGGAGGTTGCTAAGCTGGCCATAAAACATGGAAAAAACTTTGCACAACCCAGCAGAAGACATATGGTGCTGATGCTAGATGAAAGACTAGATCCCTGAACTTGCAGAACCTGATCCCTGTATACAAAACACAGCTAAAGGCAATATCAATTCACTATGAGAATGTGCAGAAATGCCTCAGCAACCACAAACTTGGGCATCCATGAACCTTGTGAAGAATGCCAAAGTAGGGTGAGAAAGGACTGGAGAAAAACAAAGGATGGGTTGAGATTAGAAAGAACGATGATCATTTGTGAATCTCAGGCACAATAAATAAACAGGACTAAAATCCCGGAAGAACGGGATCAACCATCACTACCACCCCCATGATTAGAAACTCAGATAGCTGTGAAATGATAATCCACACCCCACTGGTCAGGTGGAGGTAGAGAATGGAAGAGAAAGACCAACCTCGATACCAGAACCCGAAGTGCCCATGGATCTGCAATGAAGGAATACCATGTGTCCATCAATAGTTGTAATCCCCAGTTTGATACCGATACTGTTGACATCTGTCGGCCCAAATGGAGTGGCCCTTAAACGAAGGTCTGAGTCTATTCAGCTGTTAGAACCAAAGAAGGTCAAATGGTCAACAACCACAAAAAAGCAAATGGGTGATGGCAATTTGCAATACAAACACCTCTGGGACATCCGCAAACAAGAAGTGAGGATAAAGGGAAGTCACATGTAACACCCAGAGGCTACAGCAGGTAGATAAAATCCCGTCACCAAGGTATCTCTACAGAAGGAACAGAAGCAGGCAATCTGACCAAGGTAAAAGTTAGTAGCAGACCCCATTCATCTGCAAATTAATGTTGGGACCACTGATACACTGCCAACAAATTGCAGGGGAAGAAACATCACAGAGCAAGAGTGAGGGGCAAACAAATACAAAAAAACTGATTGGTTCAAGTGATCACATGAGCCAACCTGGAACCCCATATATCCAAAATTAAATAATTTTAATCTGTGAAACTGAAAAAAAACATCTCCCTAGACGTGGAAAGCCAAAGCATGCACACAGACAAATGAGGGTACAAGGTATATCTATCCCATCATGAAATAAAGCAGTAAATCTCTCAGCATAAGCCAGGATTATCAGGTGAAGAAGGAAAAACTAAATAGCCCCCGACCATTTCACCACCAAGGGAGGAGTAGACTGAAAGGTCACAGACAAAAGCTCCAAAAGCTCATAACTCAAATTACTAATTGAGGAAAAGAAATAGGACAACAGTAATACAGGAATTATTCACTCTCGTAAACATCAATCACGTCAACATTTTTTTTTTTGGAAGGAAACTATAATTATATGGAAATCCACAAAATGACATGAAAATTGCAATGCATAACGTAACAAACCACAGCACTTTGTCAGACAAAACTATGAACAAGGCTTGGCCAAAAAAAAAGTGATTACATTATCTGTGTGAGGTGCTTATATACAGTGTCAGGATAGAGGGCACACTGATGCAGGTGTAGGAATTTGCAAATTAGATATTGCCAAGGGCATTTAAGTGGGGTATAAAAGGCTGGAGCATGCAAGACCAATGCTTAGAGAGGCAAAGCCAATGTCGAGGAATAGCTAAAGTGTCAGTGGAGGGTAAGTATGTTTTGGAATTTGCTTTTTTTTAACTAGTCTGGGTCTAGATCTTCACAGCTTATATTTATTTCCTGAAGTATTCAGGATATCATCTCCAACCAACTAATCTCTCATTAGTAGTTTATCAAAGCTGCTTGTAATTTAAATTAGGTTCTCTTCATTTTTCCATGCTTTATAAAAAGCAAATTAGTGTTTTGATTTTCTTGTCATAGCTTAAATATTTTAACAATTAAAGTTTTGTAGTCTTTTCCTTCAAATGATAATTGTTCCATTGTCAAGTTTTGACTTGCAGTCAAACAAAATGTTATAAGGATACAAAGCTATAATATATATTACTAAATTGTACTCCTTAACAAAATAAATCTTGAAAACAATTAAAAACACAGAATCTGAGAGTTCATAAGTCTGCAGCTACACTCTCAATACTGTGTGATGTATAACCAAAGACTCATTCCTACTGTTAAGTAGCCTTGTAATAAACCAAGTAAAATTTTTGAGAGTAGTTTAAGTAACCTTAAACTCACTTGATTACTTGTGGTGTGGACAAGAATAGTGGATCTAGTAGCCAGTGGGCAGGCCTTGAGAATTCCACTTCCAAACAGTTTCACGAGTGACCAGTCTGAACAGAGTAAAAAGGCAATTTGTTGTCAGCTGTATTAGTAAAAACAAATCAGTTACAAATATATCAATTTTCCAGTGGTGTGAAAGGTTCTTTTCCTATCACATTCACTAGAGCTGGGCAATTTAATCAATATAATCAATTACCCATGAACAGTGATTAGATTGATTAGTGCCACATAAACTACATGACTGAACAAAATTAGCATTTCCAATCATTATCATTTTCAATTATCCCAATGACTGATTAATCAAAATTATGGTTAAAATCAACTGTGACAAAAATAATCAATTAACTGAAGTTATGGTTTTGAATTAATAGTATTCTTGATTATTCCAAGAATTTAAATAATCAAAATATTGTTCTAATGTTGTTTTTAAGCACAAAGCTACGTAATAGGCTAATTTTAAACTGCTGAATAGATTGTTGTTTTTTTCTTCTTATTGCAAAGCTACACAATGCAAGGAAATGAACCCAGGATATTTTTTCCTAAACTGTTAACTAATGGGAAGACAAAAATTGGGTAGCACCCACCACCAGTGTTTTTTATTTTGTCTTCTTAAACTTCTGACAAGAAGGAAGGCAACTGTTTCGCAGCGCCAACTTCCAACATTTTTGCTTGAACATACCATGGTTTGAGGAACACTGTACTAGTTGATAAAATCAATTTTAATAAAAAATGGGGACACCACATAATTGATTAGCAAATACCATTAATCATCCATCTCTAATGCTCTCACACTATTAAAGCTGTAATAATATAACTATTCAATACATGGACTATTATAATGATAAACCTTTAGTATAGCAGGATATTCATGAGCTACAACTTAAATTTGGTAATAGTACTGACATGATCACTTAATTTGTAAATCCTTACAACTCAAGTAATTATTTTTTATTTAAAAACTTTGACAAAAGCAAATGAAATCAACAAATTTGTCCAAAAATTACAAAGAAATAGTTTTACTTATTGAAACTTGAAATTATTAACTTGTAAAGGATACTATTTTAAGCAATATCAAATAACATCTTTCTTCTATAAAGATTCAACAGATTTTTTCTCATATATATCAAACGTTCTATCCACATTATATATACAAGTTTCCTACAAAAATAATTTGTTTATTGAAAACATAAAGTACATGACAGAAGAGAACAAAATTTAGGATTGAAGATTAATGAATTACTAGTGCTAACGAGACTGTTACAGAAAATAGATGAAAGTTAACATTTCCTTATACCAAAAATGTATTTCCAATAATACTTACCTCTTCTCAGACTTTAGCTTTATTCAGACAAAAGTTTCTCTTTTCTGCCCATCTAAGCATTTGTATGAATCTTACCTCACCTGCTTCAGCCTTTATACCTTAGTATATTGCCCAAAGCAAGTTAAATCTTGTGACTCTCTCCACCTATGTCAATGCACCCTCTGTCTTAGATCCGTATACAAGCTTCCCCTTATTACTTCCTATTCACTTTTCGAGAAGGTTCAATCAGCAGACCCAAAACCAGCCATTTTGCGAGGAGGAAGGGCAGGAGAAGGTGAAGGAAGCAAGTATTATCGGGAATACGTTTTTCGTATTGGAAAATGTTAACTTCTGAAACACAGTTACCTCTGCTTACACTTTAGTTGAATCCCACGTTGACAAGGTGGAGGAGCCGGTGAAGGCAAGATACACACAGAAAGTGTCTGCATAGAAAAGAGGTGTTTGAAAATGAGATATAGTAATAGCACACTAGTGGGGTCTGCACTACTTCTGGAACAGATATGCTCTTTGTCTAGACAACAGAAAATCTAATTCCTGGGCAGTAAAAGCTGACTGGTCACAGAGGCAAAAATCATAACATCATTAGAAGAACATAAATTTGTCTAGACCCCAACCAGGCAGACAAAGTCCCATGTCTCGTCATTGGAATTATAGGGCTGTGGACCCAAATCTAGATCCAAGGTGTAGTGGCTAAGGCATGAGGACTGCTTTGTAATGTGGTATTATTGGAATTCAACCTGAAAGTTACAGAATGTTGCATTTCGAGCCACCAGAATTATGAAGAGAAGGCAACACAAAAGTGGACAAGAAACACAAAATGAAACAAACAAATCTCAGAATTATGGGACCTGTCACACCTCACTAAACCTGAAGAAACAGATTACATGGCCTGGGATTACGAAACGAAATCCTAACACCTCAACCTTTGAAGCAAGGCAACACCTCCTGCCCCCAAAATTATGAGAAGGACGTGAAACAAACTAAGTCTAACCAATGGCACAGGAATTGACACTAAGCATGCAGAATTACAAGTAGTCAAGGGCCCCCTTTCTTGATCACCAAAAAAAAGGGCCACGCTCAACTTAACTGGATAGTGAATAGTCATCTCTGAACCAGAATTTTGAGGAGGCTCTTGCGAAGGCTGGTCCTGCTCCTACCATACATCTGGGAAAAATCATTCAGGGTTATTTTTAGGAGGGCACCCATCTCACCTTGAGTGGAATAATGACTTCAAGCATAACTTAGAAGAAATAAACCTCTGTCCACCACTCCAGTGACTAGAAACACTATGAGAAATAGGGGGGGGGGGACACTTGCGTTGAAGAGTCCTGAGGAACAATGATCCGGAGACAGTGTAATAGCTGAACCACATTTCCTATTTTGAAAAGCAAACTGACCCCTATTTATTCAGTCTAGGGGTCAGCAGAGATGGGCAAAATGTACTTAGGCTTTACTCATGATAGTTCATGAGTAGTGGTCCAGTAGTGTATTTGTCTTTATGTTATAACTGTTTACCACCTAGAAAACACACAAGGTGGTCTTATAAAACACTCCATCTCAACAGAGCTCATTACTACCAGGATATTTTTTATTGGTGAACTGGTAGCTAGTGCAGATTTGGAAGGTAGCATACCTGACCAGGGAACATTCGCTACTAAGTGGGATCCAAATAAAAAAGAGGAAAGCATCCCTGAAAAAGAAGAGAAATAAACAAAATATTACTGAAATCATTTGGAAAAACTATTACCTCTAAATTTAATTTTCGTTATTTTGTAAAATAAAGAAAATAGACAACAAACTCCAGACCCAAGAAAAAAAGGAATCATCTGAGGCATAGGTATAACTAGAGCCATTCAACACTGAAGAGAAACCTGTAGCAAGCATGTGAAACTGTCGTTGTAATATTCTGCTGTTGAGAAATTTGAATGGGAAGTAATAAGGGGTAGCTTATATACAGATCTGGGACAGGGGGCACATTGATGTAGGTGGAGAGAATTACAAGATTTAATTTGCTTTGGGCAATATAGTGGGGTATAAAGGTTGGAGCAAGCAAAGTAAGTTTCATACCAATGCTTAGATGGGTAAAGAAGAGAAACTTTTGTCAGGATAAAACTAAAGTGTCAGCGTAGGTGTATTTTGGAACATCAGTTATCTGAAGAAGTGTAATAACATATTTTCTATAATATTAAATTGAAACTTACAATGTTTTTCAAGGTTATTAACAATATATTTTTATAAAAAACTTTATTGAAAGTGATTAAATCAGAAAAACTTCATAATTTGGAGCAATTACACATAGTTGTTCACTATGAGAGAATTGTTGGTGTACACTTTGGAAAAAAAGTGTCTGTAGATTAAAATGGTGCTGTACATCGGCATTAGTTTATCTATATAGGGATTACGATTTAGATTTTGTTTTTGTGAATATGTATTAAAACCCAAGTTATAAATATATATGTAACTATCTCAGAGCTTGACATTACCTTCTGAACCAACTTAACCAGTAGGTGTGAATGATAAATAATGAAGTAGTTATTAACACATGCATTTATATAAAAGCGATTTGTAATTTACTACAGAAATAAAATAAGTTTTCACACTGTCAATTTTGTAGGATGTATTATCTATTAAAAACATAATGACAAACACAATTTTCTTTAAATTTTTGATAAGTCATGCATATCATGCCATTCTTGGTGACTATCCGTACATTAAACTCTCTTTTCCATGAATCTATAAAGCCTTTTCTGATTTGTGTTTCTTACTAACTCTTTTGCAATTGGAGCCCCTTTAAACGATTTTCTGTGCAAATCACTGTGTTACATTCAAAATTCAAGTAAATACTTTTAATATCAAGTCAATATTATAATGTGTGTTATGATTCAAAGTTATGTTTTATCCAACACTTGAGTGTTTTATTACAAACTAAACCTTTAAAGACTATTTAAAACTTCATATGTATTGTCACATGACCAACGAGCTATGAAAAATCTCTACTTTCACTCTCTTATCTTCAGTAATACTTGGTAATAGAGTAGAGGTAGATCTAGCCACTATGATGCTTACATAACCTTTTGACTTGTTCTTTTCAAAGTACTCTGAATGAATACAGTTAAAACAAGTAATACATTTTTTCAACCCTTGACAGTTGCCATGCTCACCTTCAAAAGGTTTATTCGAGTTTTATCGACTTCCATGTAGACGTTACATACACATGTGTATATAACAGTTAGAGAGAGCTCATTTTACAGTTTAAGCTAACAATGGTTATTTTGAAATTGGCACCAAGACTTCATCACAGAGTACATGAAATTGACTATAGTATTGTTGGCTGCTTGATAGACTGTAGCACTTAATGTTGTTTCTTACCTAAATATGTTATAGTTAATTATGTATTAGTTATGTTTTAAAATGCATAATTAAAAGATTTAAACACTTTTAAATATACATCATACATTGCATTCATTCTCAAGGCTTATGATATTATGTACTGGAGGAAAATTTTGCCGAAGGATTGCGAGTGTCTTTCAAAGAAACTGTAATGTGCCTCAAGGGCACCGCTGACTTGTGTCAAGATGAAAAATAAGTTGTAAAAACAAGAGAGGAAAATAAAACATTAATAATTAACTATATGTGAAAAGGAAAAGATACATATTTAACAAAAGGAAATTCTTTAAAGATATTCTACAAAAAATTAAAAGTTATTTATTATTTTTTCTATTTCCTAAT